AAGTCTTTGGCATCTTAAAAGAACTTTTGGTTTAAATAACATTAAATTAACAGAGAATGGATTTCTTTTTAACAAAAAACAGAAGACATTCTAGTAACAGATGTGAATATTCACACATCTCCGTATTGCTGAAGAGAACAAATTGATGTTCTTGGGAACATCCTTAGTTTAATACCTTATCAATTCAGGTTTTTAAAAGTAGCTTGTGATGCAGAATTTTATTTCTCTTCATAGCAGAAGAAGGGACATCTCTTTCTCAGATTTCTTTGGTTAATTATAGACTCTCATTTTTAAGATCGGCTTCTAAAATTTTATTAGCTATAATATAAGCAGGCATATAGAACAGAATTTTATTGGCAGAAATGGAGAAAGGTATAAAAATGTTACTTAACAATAAAATTAGTATGTGATTTTTCTTTTATATTACTAAATGTAGTATTTATTTGTAATTTCCTTCTAAAAAGACCTTGAAACTTCAGAGAATTCAAATGGTCTATCCTTAAAATGATAGATTAACAGCATACTTGTTTAGTAGCATTCCAGAGAGGAAATATTTAGGGATTTTATACAGCTCAATATTTATCAACAATGGAGATGGCTGACTAAAGAATATATAAATATAGCCTGCATTTACTAGTATATTATTTGGGTTAGGTATATTATTCATACAGCATATGGAATATTGAGTTTAAATATAGTTAGAGATACTTAAATAGAAATAAAGATAGTATGGTGGTAGAGGAGAAGGGAGCATGTCACCTGTCTTCAACTATAAGAGGGATTAAATTTACCCTGTGATGCTCCAGAGAGCAGAACCAAGGAGGCAGACTTCAGCTTTAACCATAAGGAAAAACCTGGCCTGTGAAGGTGTTTAGCCCAAGGTTGACCAACAACCTGTCAGGCATATATATATATATATATATATATATTTTTTTTTAGGATGAATTTTTTAAAAAAGATTTTTATTAAGGTATGATTGATGTACACTCTTATGTAGGTTTCACATGAAAAACAATGTGGTTACTACATTTACCCATATTATCAAGTCCCCACCCATACCCCAATGCAGTCACTGACCATCAGTACAGCAAGTTGCCAGAGATCCACTATGTCCCTTCTCTGTGATACACTGTTCTCCCCGTGATCCCCCACACCATGTGTGTTAAACATAATACCCCTCAGTCCCCTTCTCCCTCCCTCTCCACCCACCCTCCCACACCCCTCCGCTTTGGTAACCACTAGTCCCTTCTTGGAGTCTCTGAGTCTGCTGCCATTTTGCTCCTTCAGTTTTGCTTCATTGTTATACTCCACAAATGAGGGAAATCATTTGGCATTTGTCTTTCTCCACTGTCAGGCATATTTTTAAAAGAATTTATTCATTGAATTTGGAACTGGAAACCATTCATCTTCCTTGGCCCAATTTCTTATTTTGAAAAGTTTCACAATTTCAAAGTTTGTATAACAGGACAATGAATACCACTATGTCCTTCACTTAGATGTAGCAATTAATATTTTTTTGTCACATTTACTTTCCCTCCTGCTCTTTCTCTCTCTCTCTCTGTCATTTCCTTGCTCTCTGTCTTTCTGTCTTTCTTACACACACACACACACACGTGCACCCGCGCGCATACACACACACACACACATGCCTTTTTGATGAGCCATTTAAAAGGAAGTTGCACATCTCATGAAACATATCCCTAACTTCTTCAGCAAGTATCTCCTAAGAACAAGGACATTCCCCTACCTGTTACTATCCATCCTTAAGATAATGTGCAGTTTGAAGATTCCATGAATCTTCAAGATATTTTTGGCTTGCTTATGATGATTCTCATAATGAGGTTAATATATTTTGCCCTGCCTGCTTCACGGGGTACGTTTCTGGAAGGCCTGCTGTCTGCAGGGCACTCAAGAATATGAAAAATGACATTGCCCGCAAGAAATTATGGCTCAGTGAAAATTTTGGAGAACCAGACAGAATAATGTACATGAAAATACTTAAAAAAAGCCAGTATAGTATAAATGACAGTTATTTTCTCCCTGAATTCTTTTTTTCCAAAGAAAATAGAACCTAGGAAATGGAATAAATGTTTAAAAAAAAAAACACCAGAGGGTGCTGTAGTAGCATTTAGAAAACAATGACAGTTTAAGATAATTTGAAGAGACAGTGAATATGTATTACAACTGCATTTTTTCTTTCTCAGAAGAATATCTGTGATTGTATTGCCTTCTAAATTCAAGTATTGTTCACCCTATTACCTTGCATTCTTAAAGATGTGTAGTGATTTCAGATAAAAAATCATTTAAAAGTGAGAAAAAAATTGACCATTTTACTTTAAGTCAGAGATTCCAAAACCTTTAAAGTAATGTTGTTTTTCTTTGGAAGGCTGGAGTTCCATTCATGTTTTGTTTTAGTGGCTTGACATCCTAGAATTACTGTAACTTGTATTGTTCCTACTATTCAATAAGTAATGTTTTAAAGATGATAAACAAATGTGAGATCTCTCAGGAAAAGCAATCACCAGTAGTTTGCAGAGTTTTTAAAAAAAAATGTTTTTAAAGTGCAGTGTTTAAGTGGAAGCGTCTTACATATTACCAAATATACTATTGGTATATGACTTTTGTTGTTTATGGAGTATCATATAGAAAGTCCGCATTCATTTCTCATTTTAAGAGATATATATGTGGTAACTTAGGTATTAGGTGTACATTTTGAAGAATTATACTATAATTACATTTATTAGGAGTTTCAATAGGGTGCATAGATGAGAAAACGACCGCTTGTTGCCAAAGGAACGATCAAGGTTAAACTTTAAATCCCATATATATAAGTTTGGGTTTTCATTGACTTTATAAGTAAGTCTAACAGTCTTGTTAGGAATAATGAGTTTTTTTTTTTTCAAATCAGAACCAGACATGGAAAATTAGAAGACTGATAGATAGGGGCAGGGACACTGACTGGAGAGAGAGAGAGAGAGAGAGAGAGAGAGAGAGAGAGAGAGAGAGAGAGAGAGAGAGAGAGAGAGAGGGAGGGAGAGAGAGAGGAACCAGTGCATCACAACTTAGCATAAAAATTAATGCTCATAAAAACTATTCTGAGTTATTTTAGGATTAGATTTGAAATTCTCTCTTTAGGGAAAAAGAGGAATATAGAAACTATTTTGGAAAAATTTCATTCGAAAGCGCTAATATGAACTATTTGGACACATGAGGATGAACTTCAGAATCAAGCAACATATATTCATTGAGCATCTCTAATAGAAGGATAGATTCAAAGATTGTTCTACCTTCAAGAGTTTACGAAAACAAATTTGAAAACCTAACCATGGAAGGGGCATATGTTAATATTTCAATAAAGACGCTAAGAGCCACAGGATGTAAGGGAAGGAAAACAGCTTTGTTGCTGCCAAGATCTGAAAGAGAGATGGGTCTTGCTGGACTTGGGAAGGATTGAGGAGGCCGAGGAGAGGAGGGGAGGGAATGAGGAGAAAGAACACAACTGATAAAGGGAATACCATGAGAAAGACCAACCACCTGTTGGGTGTGCCCTACACCCCACCATCCCAACAAAGGAAGCATTTACAGCAGGGTCACTAGCTTCCGTTTATAATGAAAAAATATTAAATAGGAATTAGGAATATAAGTTTCCATTTTGAGATACTACTGACATCCTCAGCCAAAGCTTCAGAGAAGTTTATCTTCTCTCAGAGTTCAACATGTGGTAAACATTTTTCCTTCATTTTTCTTTTTTTTTTTATTAAGTTATCATTGATATACAATCACATGAGCAACACTGTGGTTACTAGATTCCCCTCATTATTAAGTCTCTACCACATACCCCATTACAGTCACTGTCTATCAGTGTAGTAAGATGCTATAGAGTCACTACTTGTCTTACACTGCCTTCCCATGCTCCCCCCCTATGTTATGTGTGCTAATCATAATGCCACTTATTCCCCTTATCCCTCCCTTCCCACCCACCCTCCCCAGTCCCCTTTCCCTTTGGTAACTGTTAGTCGATTCTTGGTTTCTGTGAGTCTGCTGCTGTTTTGTCCTTCAGTTTTTGCTTTGTTCTTATACTCCACAGATGAGTGAAATCATTTGATAATTGTCTTTCTCTGCCTGGCTTATTTCACTGAGCATAATACCCTCTAGCTCCATCCATGTTGTTGCAAATGGTAGGATTTGTTTTCTTCTTATGGCTGAATAATATTCCATTGTGTACATGTACCACATCTTCTTTATCCATTCATCTACTGATGGACACTCAGGTTGCTTCTATTTCTTGGCTATTGTAAATAGTGCTGTGATAAACATAGGGGTGCATATGTCTTTTTGAAACTGGGATCCTGCATTCTTAGGAGTGGAATTCCCAGGTCAAATGGTATTTCTATTTTTAGTTTTTTGAGGAACTTTCATACTGCTTTCCACAATGGTTGAATGAGTTTACATTCCCACCAGCAGTGTAGGAGGGTTCCCTTTTCTCTGCATCTCCACCAGCATTTGTTGTTCCTAGTCTTTTCTTTGATGTTGGCTGTCCTAACTGGTGTGAGGTGATATCTCATTGTGTTTTTAAATTACATTTCCCTGATAATTAGTGATGTGGAGCATCTTTTCGTGTGCCTGTTGGCTATCTGAATTTCTTCTTTGGAGAAGTGTCTGTTCATATCCTCCGCCCATTTTTTAATCTGGTTATTTGCTTTTTGGGTGTTGAGGCATTTGAGTTCTTTATATATTTTGGATGTTAACCCCTTGTTGGGCATGTCATTTACAGATATATTTTCCTATACTTTAGGGTGCCTTTTTGTTCTGCTGATGGTGTCCTTTTCTGTACAGAAGCTTTGTAGCATGATGTAGTCCCATTTGTTCATTTTTTATTTTGTTTCCCTTGCCTGAGGAGATATGTTCAGGAAAAAGTTGCTCATGTTTATATTCAAGAGGTTTTTGCCTGTGTTTTCTTCTAAGAGTTTTATGGTTTCATGACTTACATTCAGGTCTTCGATTAATTTTGAGTTTACTTTTGTTTATAGGGTTAGACAGTGATCCAGTTTCATTCTCTTACATGTAGCTCTCCAGTTTTGCCAATACCAGCTGTTGAAGAGGCTGTTATTTCCCCAATGTATATCCATGGTCATGGTGACTCTTGGTTCATCAGGTTATAAAGTAACTAGGCAGGTTCAGATTTAGTCAGATAGTATTCCAGATTATTCCTGGTGTCTTCAAAATGTTAGTACTGTTCGAATACTGTTAATAATAATAATAAACAATAATCAGTGTAATTTTTATAATAAATGTAACCCAAACCAGCAAATAATTTTTGTATTTTCATTTCAGGAATTGGTTTAATCTTTCTTTGTAGATACCCATTTTGCTAAGCCTAATTTCTTTTATCTTGTCATACTCTTCCGTTTTTTGCATTAATAATACTTTCTGTAGGGTGCTAGTAAGCTAGGGGAGAATCTAGGACCCTCACTTGACTCTGTGTGAGGTCCTTGTTGCCCAGTGGTGCTGCAGAGAAGTAGAGCACATCAAGGTTGTAGTGAGGTTTTCATCTTGGAATAATCACTTCTGTTGACTCTCCTGTAGCCTAGGGCAAATTTGGCCTCGAAAGAAGGGGTGGTTGGTGTGTTGGGATGCTACTTTTTGAAAACCCAAATATTCCTACTCCTGGATAACTCCTTCAACAAGTAGAAGTGAAGAGGGGGGTAAGCCTCAAGGACACAGAATTACTTATCTCGGACTTGATTGCTAGAACTGTGGAACCCCTGGTATCAGCAGGTTGCCATACATAAAAGTTTTTTCCACCCAGGAGCTGGAGCTACACCTACCTGTGGCAGGAGAACTTCTTTGTCTTTTCCTCACCATGAGTTAGGATCACTGCACTTTAACAGGCCAGCCAGGCATTGTGTTCCCTCCGCTGCCTTGCTTTTTTCTATGCAATTAATATGGCAGGATGCCCCATCCTCAACTGTGCTTTGTCTATCCATATGGTAAGCACACCTGGAAAAGTCTATCCTCTGCTTTCTCTGTTGCCACCTTTCCATGTGTGTGGGCATTCAGGTGGTGTTCTCAGTGGGCCAGAGAAGTAGCACATTCAGGTGTGTACCTCTTAGCTGCATTCTGCTACTTATTACCAGGCCTACTTTAAGAGTATGGGAGACTTGTCCAGCTATTAATAAAGTAATGCAATATTTTCCATGTGGCTGCTACTTAACATTCCTTGTGGTATATTCCATGATTGAGAAGTCAAGGAGGTAATGGCAGAGGAGCTGTAAATGCCAAACCCCAACCTAACTTGACCTTGAGGACTACTCCTTACAGGTATATATGAAGCTTGTGTAAGATATTGCTGGGCAAACAGTAAGTTATGTTGTATAACTTAAATAATACTTGTTCTTTCTTTTCTTTTTATTGAACTTCTTTTTGATATGTTGTAGCGAGCACATTTGCAAATTAGGAAGTGTATGTCAGTAGAGAGATTTTCTCAGGTTTTTCTCCCAAGGAAGTAGCCTGGGTTCTCACACCATGGAGCTATTTTCTCCTTTTGCAACATTTATTCTGTGCTTCAAACTCCTGTCATTTAACTTAGGCTTTTCCCCCTTTTTCTTTTGTGATATCTTCTCTTTTTGTCCTGCATGTCATTTATGAAACATTGTTCCTGGTGTTTTGCTGTTTGTTTCTATTGACCAAAGCATGCTTGATCATTTTAGTCAAAATCATTGATCCTAGCCTTGTCCACTCCCCAGCTTCTAGGGATCTCTCCATTGGGACATTTTTACAAATCAGTTCTCAGAGTCTATGCTAAGGGGGCAATATATAGCTAAACTGTCTCTCATAGGAGACCCATGACAAAGCAAGAGAATGAGAAAATTAGGGCATTCTCTAAGTATCCGATACCTGCCACTCACTGCTCACATTGCCATGGTTTTCACCTGGTTCTAATAATGAAGGGCCTGGAGTGGGCACTCTGTGTCTATTGCAGAACACGATCCCAGACCCAGGGCTGCATTACACCAAAGGGACCTGGTATTATACTATAGAAGCCTTTCTTTCTAGGGAGCAGCCCCAATTGAGTTAACAATCGTTCGTATGTATCAGTTTATATATCATTGCTCTATGTTGGAATATGTAGCGCATGTCAGTGTACCTTGTAGAAATAGAGTAGGAAGCTTTTCTTTTTCACAAATGGCAATTATTTAATCTTTTAAGCTCATCTAGCGCCCCTAGTGCTGTGGAATGTATCAGAAAAGACAGACTGGTTAGTTCTTACCATCAAACAGAAGCAGAATCATAATAAAAGTTTTTCAGACCACTCACCCATCTGCTTGATAATTTACCTTTTTCCTTGGTACATTAGGTCAAATGCCTCATGGATTTTGTCAAAAGGAAGGGTATCAGTTATCAGTGCATCCAGATTGAATTTCTTATTCTTATAGTCAGTAACCAGCTTTGGAACAGAATCAATACTTTTCCAACCTGTAATTTGGCCAAAATGCTAAATAAATACATGGTGTTTGATGTGAAGAGGAAGTTTAATCAGTGTTTGTTGAATGAATGAAGTCTTTAGGTCAGATTTGGGTTGCTTCAAGTAAATTACTCCTCCACCCCCATTTTTATTGTTCTATATACTTTTATCTATTTAACAATTTTTCTTCATAGGAAAAAATACATTTATTTTCTATTTCCCGATAAGAAATTATCTGTTTAGTCAAAGTTTACTTTTTGTTCTTCTGTGTTGGTTTGTTTTAATACAAATTGAATTTCAGTTTGCAATTTGTAGTTATTCTTCTACACAAACTCTGTTTACTTCCAAATAATTACTGGAATATATTTTATGTAGTTTTTAGATATATTCTAGAGATGCTCAGTATTTAAACAAATTATTTTCCTTTCAATAATCTTCATTATAAAAATTTCAGTACCTACTATGGAGAAAATTAAAAAAAAAAAAACTGACCACCAAAGAATGTTCCATTTATAGTACGGCCCATTATTAGCTCCACTGGAGAAATAGTCAATCCTTTGTCACCAATGGCTACACCAATGAGAGTACATGATCCCCCACCTGCTATTGTGCAGTCCAGGGCTGCTTTCTGAAAGATCAAACAAAAGACTATCTTAGTAAGTAGAAAAGTAGAATATGAAGTTCAGCGTGAGTATTACAATGTTTTTGGAAAAATTTATACAACTCTATATATAAGATAATAAGACTCAAGCCAATGAGGTCATAGTATTGTAGCTTGAGACTTTGAGACTCTAGTGTTCTGTTACAGATAGAATATCCAATAAAATTTTGAGCTTCATCAAAAAAGATATTGAAAAGAAACAGAACATATTATTTTACCCTATTTAATACCATATTTAATACCAATATGAAGCTGAATCTAGAATGTATGTCATTGTATATCAAGAAAAATAAACATAAGTAAAATTTAGGAAAGATATGTAGAAGATATTATATACTCTAATCAACAAGTTTTTGATGATCTACTGTGGTGTGTATACTAAAATAGTTGTAATTCCAGGGGCATAGTATCACAATCTTTAAAGTAATGAAGAGAGGGTGAATGAGTATATACAGGAGCCTAGGCAGTGAGGTACACACTGTAAACATAGTAGATCTCCATGTAGGATATATACAAAGAGATGCTGTTTAAAACAGATGGCAAAATATTTAAACAGAAAACGACTCTGGCTGCTGATCATCAAACATTTAATTTGCTTTCCTATGTTTTTTAGCTCTCTTGCAGTCAGGTAGAGTCATGTGACTACAACTGGCTACAGGCAGAAGTGATGTGTGTCATTTCCTAGCTAAAACAGAAAAGCCAGTGTGCAGCCTGCCAGCTGCCCCTTGTCCTGCTAAAACAACCAAGATGATCTCATGTTGAGATTGTGAAGCCACAAGTTTGAACTTCCTTGATTGCTGGGTCATCTCATGGAAGGCAGTGGCCCAGGGAAGTGCATTGATCTTTTCATGAGAGAAAGAGAAAACATTGTTATGTTAACCTACTGCAAGTTTAGAGTTAATATAAAAATGTTAAGGATTGAAAATATAAAAAAGTTTGAGAAGGATATAAATTTGTGGAAGGCCTTTACACATAGAAGACCTATGATCGATAGATGAACATTTAAAATCTTTTGAGACAAAAAAGCATAAATTTTGTCTCATATCCCTTAGTATAATCAATGGGCAACTTGATTCTGACCTTTCAGGTAATTTTTACTTTTAAAAAAGTCCCAAGAAAAGCTTAGAGAATATAGTCAATAGTTCCATTTCTATGCTGACAGATAGTAATTATACTAGTTAGGGTGAGGATTTAATAATGTATGTAATTGTTGGATCACTATGTTGTATACTTGAAGCTAATATAATATTGTATATCAGCTATATTTTAGTAAAAAAAGGTAAAAAAATAAACAGTATCATGTAATTAAAAAAAAAGGAAGCAGAGCCCCTTTTCATCACTGATCATTGTATGAAGGAAGCAATAGTAAATTCTTCCCCTCTTCTCTCTATTATTAGTGATGGAAGATGCAATGATCTAGAACTTTTAGAATCTATTTTGGAATTTTTATTTGAATATGTCTTAGTTTCTTGTTTTGAGACTTCCTAACATTTGTAACTAGCAACTGTTCTACAGAAACATTTTTGTTTTACTATATAAAGAGATCCATGGAGAGGGGAAAAGACCACAGATGGTACTCATTACCTTAAGGGAGCTGCTTACATTGACTCCAATTTTTTTTAATGTTTTTCTTGTTGTCTTTTCTACATTTCTGAACTTTATACCCCCAAAAAAGAATTAACCTTTAAATAATGACTTAAAATGGGTATTTTATATAAATACTGGGTTTTATTTAAAAGCCTCTAATAACTTTTGATGAGAATCATTTTTAATTCTCAAAATCTTATAAAATTGTCAATTATTGTAACTTTCTAATTCTTCTGTTGGGTTCTTTAGGTTGCTTTAGAGCATTAAAAGTCATTGAAATCAAGTTCATACTCATTATTGGAATCTCCTTTACAACCTAGAAATTTTGTTTTCCCTGGTTACGGAAACTTGGTGGAAGGGTAGGTAGCTGATATTTTTGTGATTAAATAAATCCATCTCTTTTTATTTGGATTCTGTATTGATCTGTTACATAATTTAAAATATGTTTCTTGTTATAATAGAGATAGAACCTGACAGTTTTATATAAGTGGTTCTTAACTTGAGAAACTTGTAAGTAAATATTCATGGAATATTTACTCATGGAAATATTCCAGGGTATGGTCTATTCATTGATACTTAAAAACAAGTCTCTGGGCACTTCTGAAATATAATCAGTGATGAGAATCTCTGTATTAGAAAAATAAGGTAAATAAACTGAATTTCAATGTTTATGAGATATATGAGCCATATAGGTAGTGAAGGAATGGATGTGGCACATTGCAAGCTGCAGGTGCCAAGGACCATTTTAAAAGCAGACCTAAAGCTTTGAACACAGGGGAGCAGTGCCAGACAAGGAGTCATTAATGTATGAATTTTCAGTAATAGCTAACATTTATTGAGTGCCTGTTACCTGTCAGACCATTTTTCAAGCAGCCATTCTGAGAGGAAAGACCCTGGAACAGCAGGCTGCTGCTCTCACCTTCTCTTCCTGGTCTCCATCCTCTGGGGATGCACCAGTCAGGGAAGAACCAAGGGGAGGAACCCCTACAAAGCCTGTCGTGGGAGGCTGAAGTACAGAATTCTATTTTTTATAACATCCCTAGAGGAGGATTTTAAGAGCCAGGCTGAGGGAAGGTGTAGATGATAGGGAGTAGCACCACACCTACTTCAGAGTTCTCACTAATGAAATAAGAAAAATCCATAGGCAGATGATTTAGTTGATGAATTCTTTGGTCATCTCATTGAAAAACAACAACAAAAATGAAGAACACAAAACTCTATTTAGTGTCTCTGAGCAAATACGCATCAGGTGAACATTTGCTGGAGAGTGAGACTGGACTCCGTCAGTCTAACGTTTCCCTGTTGCCTGTGCAGTTGGCTCTTTACTCTGCTCTTTTGGAGTAGGATGGGGAGGGCTGGCTACCTGACCCTGCAACCCTGGAGTCGTTCAGGGCCCCATTCTCACGAGGGTCCTGCAAATTATGCAGCCCATCCTGATGAGGAGAAATCTAAATGATACAAAACTGTAGTGTTTAGGAAAAAGAGATCTACTTAAAATTTTGTAGTGTGTTTTTTTTAATTGAAAATTTCAAATACAACTTGGGTCTAATTTTGCCACCCTTTTATTTAGCTCTGATGGTAGAACTGGATTGTTTGTACACTGCTAACCTCTTCCTACTCTAAGATGGGAGTGGATTCATGATTGTTAGGGCTGGCACCAGTTACTCTCTTTTATTACCCTCTCTAAATCCACCTTTTCTGTATTTTTCCTCACTTCTCATAGGCATAATTCTCTTAAAGTTTTCAGTTCTAAGTTCTCTTCTAATTATTTTTTGCTTAATTTCATGTGCAAGAATAAGCATGAATATTAATAACGCATTAAATAATAATTAATATTTACTAATATTTCATTCGTGTAATGTATAACTAATATGTTACTAATTATTAATGTATTTCTAATACATTAAATATGTAATTTATATACATTTATTAATTTTAAACACAAAATAATTATATATATCATTATCAAAATAATTATAAATAAACATTATCAATGTTTATTAATGTTAATGCATTTTTTAATTGTATGTTATTATAAAAACTCTACATACCATAGTTTCAGATCCACCTGCACAGTCAAGGGCAAAATCCACACCTCCATTGGTCATTTCAATGATGACCGCCTGGATGGGTTTATCTAGGTCTCTAGGATTGAGGCAGTCAGTGGCTCCAAGGGCTTTGGCCCTAGTAAACTTTTCACTATTGATGTCAATAGCTATGATTCTGGAAGCTCCTGCTACTTTACAACCAATTAGAGCAGAAAGACCAACGCCTCCTAGGCCAAAGATGGCACAAGTTGAACCAGGGGTGACCTGCAGACAGGAAAATTATAAATGAACTTTTAAAGTAGTTGGTCCCTACTTTTTTTTTATTTAAGGGACAAGTGAGGGAAGGCAGAAACATATGAATAAAGACAACTTGTCATAAAACTAAGTGATATAGCCCATGGGGAAATCCGCCAAAAATGTGAAAATGGATGAGTAACCCACTATATTTGGAGAATCATTTGAAGGCCTTTAGAATTATCAGCTAATAAGGAATAAACCCAAGTGAAATTCATTGTCTTGTTTTCCTTTTCCTTTTAGTGTTAATGTAAAACTCACACATTTTTAATGGTCCATTACCCTTTTTTAATAGATCACAAGTAATTTGATATCTGTATTTCTAATGGGCCTTATTTGGTTGTGTTTATGTTACAGGTGGTTTTGAATGACCATTAGTGTTTCTTTAAATGTGAATTAACTCAGTCAACCCAGTCATAAATTCATTTAAATGGAATGAAGAGTGAATTTCTTTGCATGGCATTAGGGGATTTTTATTATCTAACTCTGTTACCTTCTAGCTTGATCCCATGATAGTCCCAGTACTGCAGCCACAACAAATGTCACCGTTTACTCTCCTCATGCCTTAGTTCATGCTCTTTCCTCATTATCTTCACTTATTTCCTTAAATTAAAATAGAACTAATACTTCTAGGCCTAAAAAATAATACTTTTCTTGATTGTTCAATCAGAATCAGTGTCTACCTTTTTGCTTTTTTCTATATCATATAATTTATAATCTGCTTTGATTGATTTTGTCTATGTGCCTGTTTTTCTTTAACAGACTGTAAGTTATTTGAAGGCATGTTATCTTCTACATGCTACCAAGGAGTCTTTTGTAGTTGGATCTTAAATGAATGTTCATCACAATGAATTATATAGAAACTTAATATACAAAATGATACGGAAAGATGCTATAACTGTAATACATTATTCCATAGAGTGATAAAGAGGCAAAAGAGATGGTTAATGAATATTTTCTAATGGTAATAAAACTGTTAGTATTAAAGCATAAACAAGAGGGAAAGAGAAAATCTGCCCAGGGAAGCATAGATACATTCTAAATTGTAAACAAAATTATTAATTAACAGAGAGAATGTACATCTCTTACTTTAATTTATGCATGATATTAGGTATGCGTACACTGGCTTTTGTTACTCAGGGGAAATAAAGTATGTATTTTGAAAATATTCACAATATTGTTCTATTTACACTATGTAGTATTTGCTATAAATTGTGGTATGTGTTTAGTATGTTTCCAAATATATTTCTCCAGAGACTGTGTAAAAAAGTTGCCTGCCTCATTGAAAGTAGAAATGAATTTTTCTCATTGCAGCAATGTTGTACACAGCTCACAATAGTGTATAAATTGAATGCACTGTACTAATTGTGTTATACAGCCAGACCCCTGTGTGTACAATTGCCTTTGGTTGCAATTCTGTGGTGGTGGTGGGTTCACAAAGTACCCCCCATTTGAAAATAGGACAGTACATAGTAGATGATTATCTATCTGCGGATAACACCCTTAATATCCCCCCAAAAAAGGTAGAGTACTAGAAGGTGATAATCTACATGGAGTCCAGTAAAGAGTGTGTGTGTGGAGAGGCTTGAGGGCTGGGAGTGGCCCAAAGATTATTAATTCTTCCCTGAGTCTCCAGTGCTGTTTAGAGGAGAATATGCCTTGACTGCTGAGGTTCACATCTGCCCTTAACTCCACCCAGCTAACAACACCTTTCCTCCAGGAGCATTCAGATTGTAGTTTGGCTTCCCATACAATTTTTAATTTTTATGACTGTATGAATGAATGAATTTTTAGAGAGAGATTATATACTGATAGCCAAAAGTAGCATTCCTGTCTGTTTGGCTGATACAATTCTCAATGAAAAGTCCTATCTTGATATTCTGTGTCTTAGATCAACCTCTTATTTTGGTTAGGTTGATTTTGTTTCCTTGACACTGAACAACTCTAGGTAATCCAATAAAAAGAAAAAATTTGATTGCAAAGTTGAGGACAAAGCCTCAGCTAGATGTTTTAAGGGTTGTATAAGAACCTGGTTTTATTCATTCATTCACTGAAAAATTATCAAGCTCCTGTTATCTTCCAGGCACAGAGAGGCTCTGGATATATCACAATGAATAAGAGAAAGTTCTTGCCCTCAAGGAGCAAATAGTCTGATAGGGAGGATAAGTAAATGGGAAATTTCTCTACAGTGCGATAAGAGGGAAAACCAGGGCTAAACACGCATACTGGAGGCAGGGGGAAGCAGGGGACAGGGAGGGATACCCAATGCATGCCCAAAAGGCTGGAGTAGGTTTCTAATAGGAAATGACAATTAAGTGGAGTCAGTCAAAAGTGGTGGGAAGCTCTCCAAGAAATGTTGGTGGAAGCCAGATGTGGAAAGTCCAGAGGCCACAGTGATGGAGCCCTGAGACTGAGGCCCAGGTCTGGGGGAACAGCAAACCTGAAAAGGAAGTAGAATCATGATGGCCTACTGACAGAAAAGTGGAATAATGAAAAAGGAATTAAATATTCAGACTTGTTTAGAAAGACTTCCCTGGTTGCATTTGGTAGTTTGGAATCAAGAATGAAGACTGATGTGAAGATTTAAATAAAAAGGTTGTTTGAGGCATCCAAGTGATATTGACATCTTTTTAATCTCTCAAACAGCTTTGTAGAAGCTTCTAAATTTTACATGGGATTCTAGGGACACATATTGCCTCCTTCAGGGCTGCCACCTGAGACCCTCTCTTGAAGTCAGAAAGGGACAGGATGAGAAGCAGAGATGAATTACTACAGTTTGAGGGAGAGGCAGTGTCAGGGAGGAAGCAAGCATGGTTATGTGGAGATGGATGGGGGTTCCCGTAGTTTGTTGCATTTTTACTGGGTTTGCTGTCCTAGGGCAAATATCCATATGTAGGGGACATATTTAAGCATGTGTATTTAAATCAGAGGCGGTCTATATTCTAACACATCAGTTTAGGAAAAGAGACTAACCTTAACTGGGTGCCATGTATATGCCAGCTGCTAGACCAGATGTCTTACATGTAAAATATGATTTAATTATCCCCACAACTATTTGTAGTAGATACTATGGTGGAGAGAGAGGATTGGAGCAGTTAAATAACTTGCCTAAAATAATAGGTGATAAATGACAGAGTCAGGGTTTGAAGATTAACAGTAGCTGCTTTATCACACTGCCTCCTAGTAACTTCTACTTCACAAAGGGTGATTAAGCATTTTACCTTCGCAGTGTTGATTGCAGCTCCATAGCCAGTTGAAAATCCACATCCAATCAGACAAATTTTCTTTAAATTAGCATCATCATCTACTTTGGCAAGATTAATATCTGACACTACAGTATACTGAGAGAAGGTACTGGTCCCCATGAAATGGTAAACTGGTTTTCCTTTGCAGGTAAACCTGCTGGTTTTGTCTTCCATTAGTTCTTGGTCAATAATAGGATTTTTGACTCGACTAGAAAGTTAAAAAAGTTAAAAAAAACAAAGAAGAAAGAAAGCAAATTATCTACTGATCACTTTCCTGGAAAAAAATTTAGCCATTATACATTTGTTAAAACAATCTTATGTGATGGGAACACTGAGAAAATAATTTGAGACCTTTTACCTAAATATATAGTTAAACATAGTCTAAAGATAGTAATTATAATAAAATGAACTTTTTACTGAATTCACATGCATTAATTCTTAAATATTTTTTAATGGAAACTCAAACATATATAAAAGTTGAAATAACAGCATGCTGAATCTTTTTAACTCTTAGCTTCAGCAATTATTAACTCATGGCTGATCTAGTTTAATCTATTCCCTGCCCTCCTAAACCAGCTCCTACTCTTCTGCATTGGACTATATTGAAGTAAATCTCAGAAATCACTATTTCATCTGTAAATATTTTAGTATGTATCTAAAAAAGATATATATATTTTTAGGTTTACACATTGCATTTGGTTGATATATCTAAGTCTTTTTTCAATTTATAGGTTTTTCCCCCCTTCTTGTTTTTTTTTCCTTGTAATGTATTTGCTGAAGAAACTGTCATTTTTCATGTAGAGTTTTCCTTATTTTGAAGTTTTCTGATTACATTCCTGTAATCTGTTTTACCATATTTCTCTGTCCCTGTATTTCCTCTAAACTAGTAATTCTTTTTTTTTTTTTTTTTTTTAGGAGAGCAAGGTACAGGCTTTTATTTAGAAAAAAGTGAGAGGAAAGAGCTCCTGGCTCATGCCAGGAGGGGACAAGAGAGCCCTAAGCTAGTATTTTTAATCTAAAATAAAATTCTAATTCAGGTTTTATGTTTTCATAAGAATACTTCAAAGGTGGTGGTATTTTAATCTGGAGCAATATAATTCCTTATTATCCCCCTTATTGTTACATTAGAAAGAATTAGTGGTCATTTCCAAAATTTTATTTCATTAAGAGTTTGCAAAAGGGTGTATTAATTCTTTGACTATCTGTAATAGCCCTGTGAAGTAAGCATTATCATCTCCATTTTATAGATGAGGAAATCGAGGCACAGTAATATATTTCAGACTAATACAATTTTAACTTCTGAGATACCTGGTTTCAGTTAGCATGAAGGACAAATAGGTCGTTCTATTGTCTCAGTAAAGAGAATAAAGTGATTAAGATTTGGGACTCCGGGGCCAGCCTGCCTAAGGTTCAAACTCTAGCTCTGAGACTTAAATCTATGTGGCCTTGGAATGGTACTTTACTATGCATCATTGCATTCCTTTCTTATTCGCTGTGGAAGTAGCTATTCTGAATTTGGCATTTATCATTCCAGTGATGTTTTATACTTTTACTACATATATATGTAACCATAAACAACATATGGTATTTTTTATATATGACATCTTACCAAATATATCCATCAACAACTTGCTTCTTTCCCTTAATATTATGGGTGTGAGATTATATGTTGATACATGAAGATCAATTTTAGCCTTTTTCATTGTTACATTGTATTTCATTGTGTTAACTACATAGCAATTTGTAAATCTGTTTTCTTACTGATGGACATCTGTGCTATTTTCAGTCGCTATTGTAAACAATGTTACAATGAATATTCTAGCCCCTGTCTCTTTGGGTGATTTTTGCAACAATTTCTTGTACACACCTAGGAGTAGAATTTGTCTAGATGGTATGCACCTCTTCAACACCATTTAGGTATTGACAATGCACTACCCAAAATATTTTTATCAAACTAATCTTCTAACAGTATATAGAACTTACCTGAGTTTTTGACAAAGATTCGTGAGTGGACTCAGACAGAACTTGCATTTTTTACATTGAGGAGTATAGAGTGGAATTATTTTGTCACCTAGAAAGAAATTACATCTTATGTTCAGCAGAAACTATAGGTGGCTACAATAATTTGTTACTCTACAGGATTGCTGATTCCTCCAAGTATTTCATAAACTATCTTTTTTCTCCTCTGCTGGTCTGTCAAGCAACAAATCTGTATTGATACCATTAGGTGCAGAATCCTGTCTGAGACTTTACTGTCATTGCAGCTCTCTGTATCATGACTATTTGCTTATTACACTTATAAACACACTGAATGGAATAGTACACCCTTATTTAGTAGGAGAGGTAGACAACAATAAGCTAGCTCTGGAGAGTAAACTTTATGTCACCACCATGTTTCACCATTTAATTCACTCTCAAATTCCACATTTTTCTATTTTTTACTCATTTTCAATTTAATAATAGTTTCTATCCGTTGGTGACCATGGTCCAATAATATTAATATTTGTCCAACATTTAGTATGTGTCAGGCACCATTCTAACTGCTTACATGTATTATCTCATTTAATTTTCAGAATAATCCTTTGCAGTAAGTACTGTTTTCTCCCCACTTTAGAAAACAGAAAAGTGACTTTACTAAAGATGGTCACATAGCCAATAAATGGCAGAGCTGAGACTACATTGGGCAGACCCAAAACTTTTGGAAACAGTTTGTTTCTTTGATCTTGTTTGGAATGGAAATATACAAATTATCTCTAAATTTGGAGTATTCTCATTGAGGGAGGAAAGTATGATATAGTTCTTCCTGCCTGATAAGTGAGGATTACATAACCCATATTCCAGTATTTGGTGGATCTGTTATAAAATGTGAAATAAATCCAGCCATTGGCATGCTTCATTTACATGTTTTTATTTTATGGCCTTCCAACAAGACACTTAAGGTAACACTGACATATGAATATTTCTCACTTAAGCTACCCATAAACCCTCATTAAAAAATTTTTTATAATATTAAGTTAGTTGTCTGTTTTATTTAGAGAAGTTTGTTATAAGTTGCCATTGTGCTCCCATGAAAACTTCAGTTTAAGATAACTGTAGTTTGCTTCATAGGACAATTTCTCATAAAAAAAGGACCATATATCCCAGATTTTATTTAATTTTTAATTAAAGTGTCATTGATATACAATCTTATATTGGTTTCAAATGTACAACATAGTGGTTACCCATATTATTATCCTCAACGCCACTAGTGCAGTTACTACCCAGGTTTTACTTGACACTTCTGATTTCAAGTACTCTGACCCATTGTTAGACTGTGATAGATTATGTGTCTCAGTTTTGTTTTGGAAAAGATGCCCCCCCCCCTATATAAAAAGAGATCAGTCATAGCATGCAAAGCCAAGACTGTGTTGGGAATTATCCCTGAAATATCCTGGCATTTCCATTTAGTTGGAGTCAGAAAATAAAATACCTGGTTTGAAGGCAGTCACTCCTGGTCCAACACTTTCCACAATTCCTGCACCCTCATGGCCAGGGATCACTGGGAAAAGTACCTCCTTAAATTTCGGATTGATGACGTGAGCATCAGTATGACATAGGGCAGTGGCAATTATCTACAAAGCAACCACAGACTTGAGTTTTGTTTTGTAATTATTTTATCATTGAGGTTCTTAGGTGGATAATTTTAGGCCCAATGTCACCTTGAAACTTAACAACACTTTGAGAGCTCAATAAAAGAACTGCATTTTGGAAAAAAAAGAAGAATTAAAAATATGTTAGGATATATTATTTTCCTCTTAAAATAATGTATCTTTGTTGTCCAACTTTCACTGTCACTGGAAAATCATACAAAGATTTATTGTCTCCAGGAAGGGAGAGGTCAAAGGTAATAGGGAAAAGTCTATTAGGCAGAGGGAGTGGAGGGGAACACAGGTTTCTAGGGCTTGTCAAAATTTGTTGAAACTACTTGAAATGAAATAGAGATAATCAAACTTTTATAGTTTAAAGTGAAACATCAAATGAAGGATTGTCAAACTTAATTATTAATGTATGCCTCATATTATTTTTCAAGATTCCGTTTATGAGGATACCTGTTCATTCTCAGGTATAAATCCTTACTCTGCTGGTTCTGAAAAATGCAACTTGGGCCAGCTATGGGGAAAATGGAGAAATTGTCCCCACTTGTTGTCTGTGGTCATTCTCTCCTCAGTGTGGGCTCTTCTCCATGCAGACCCACTCCCAACCCTTCCTCTGGGCACTCGAGACCTTTATGCTGCCTATGTCAGCATTTCAGATCTTTCCTCTCTCTTGTTTTGAGCCAAATTCTGTCTTCCTTTTAATAACACTTTCTATTAGCTGGCAACTGGAAAACAAAAAGAAAGTTAACTAGTTCTAATCCAAAATGAATTCCTTTGTCTGATTCTTAACATTAATGATTAATGTTAAGATAGTTCAATTAAATTTAAAGCTCCTTATGCATAACAACTTATAATTTACCCCTTTGGGATAATGCCTGTTTTTATCTGAACCTAAAAATGTAACTCCCCCATAGTGAAAACTCCAGGGACTTTTAGTAATACCACCTAGGCTTGACCTGACAGAAGCCACATCTGCACGTAGTGCCTTGTCTGTTCTGTAGGGGTAAAGTCCCCACTTACCTGAATGCGAACTTCATGAGCCTTAGGGGGAGCTACCTCAACCTCTTCAATGCTAAGGGGCTTGCCTGCTTCCCAGGCAACGGCTGCTTTGCATTTAATAGTCTAAGAAAGAGAGAGAGAGAGGGAGGAGAGGAGAGGGGAAGAGAGAGGGAGATTAAATGTATAATTATATAAAGTACAGTTAATTAAAATTGTATTTTAAGTAACACTGAAAGAAAGTGGAAAGAAACAAACCCATAATCCTCTGTTTTAACTTACTACTTTTGCTTTTGGTATGATTTTCCAAGTCTTTGACCACATGAATACATACTTTTTGATAGTTGTTATACAATTTTGAACTGTATTTTAAAATATACTAGTCTTATAAATGAAACGTATGTTAATTATGGTAAGTTTCAAAATATAAGTAATAACAAAAGAAAGAAAATCCACCCATTATTTTATCACCCATTTTATGATTTTCAATGTAAATCTCTTAAGTATCCCTAAATGGGATCATGTTGTATGTAATATTTTATAATCTACTTTTTCTACTCATTAATATACTATAAATATTGTTCATATTCTTCTCTAATGTTATCTCTAACAAATGCAAATTCTATTTGACAGTTATAGTGTCGTTACTCAAATCTCTCTTTTTTTGGTCATTGAAAGTAACATTTAATTGAACACCATGTATTAAGCATTTTGACAAATCCATAGTAATTTCCTTAGAGTAAATTACTAGCATGGGGTCATCATAATTCTTTTGCTCAACTTTAAATTGCTCCTTTTCTGAGAGTAATCCCCGAAGGAAGCTTTTTAGAGCAAATGTATAAAGAGACGAAACGAACATGAATTCAGCAGAGAAACAGTATATTCACTTACTTTGCTGTTGGTGCCCATTTTTCTTTGGAAAACTAGCTTTGGAAGTTTCTTTCTGGTTTAAAAAGTTACTATACTTCTGTCCAGGGTGCTCTGTGTCCTGTAATGAACTGTTGTTGCATAAATACCATTCCTGCTCTTTTTTTCTCCAATCACTTTCTGTCCTTTTCTGTTGCTGTGATACATAGCACTGCCCATCTCTCACCATGTCATTTGTGCTATCATGTTTCAGCTGCATATCCCCATTGCTCCTAACAGTTATTTGGAGAAGGTTTTTGTTTATTCAATAATTCCCTTTTACTGCAAAATATGATAATAGAGTAAAATAGAGTAAAAAAAAAACAGGTGAGTTAACACATAATTATAAAGTAAATGACATTTTTCTGCCCCAGAATCCTTCCTGTACCCATTTCCTCCTTCACAACCCTAATAATTTCTGTGCATTTTTATGAATTATGCTTTTCAGTATAATATAGTTTAGTTTTACCTACTAACATACCAGTAGCAATGTATCAGAGTTCCACATCTTCAGCTATGCTTATGATTGCTGGACTTTAAAACTTTTGACAATCTGTGGGTATGTGGTAATAAGTAATTGTGTTTTTGATTTATATATCTCTGACTGTTAATGAAGATAAGCACCAGCAGAGTACTGGAGCCAACTCACTGATTTTTGGTCTGCTTATCCTATTAACTACCGAGAGATGCTTTAAAATCACTATTATGAATCTGTTAATTCCTAATAGTTCTTTTCTTTTTGCTTTATATATTTTGAAGCTTGATATTAGTGCATGCAAGTGTTCTGTATTGTATGTGTTTTAAAAAGTCTTAACTTTTTAAATCTTTAAAGAGGAATCTTTAAATAAAAAGGTGTAAAAAGAAGACATGTACATAAAATGTGGAGGGGGAGTAAAAAATTTATTGCTGTTAGAATGCATTCAAACTTAAGTGACTGTCAACTTAACATAGGCTGTTATATATATATATATATATATATATATATATACAATGTTATATATAAACCCCATGGTAACAAAAAACCAACAGCTTGTCTAGATACACAAAAAATAAAGAGAAATAATCTAATCATAATATTAAGGAAAATTATCACACACAACGGATGAGAGCAAGGGAAGAAGAAAGAATCAGAGAAAAATGACAAAAACCATCAGAAAACTTAACAAAATAACAGTAAGTACATGCCTATCAATATTACTTTAATGTATGTGTGCTAAATTCTCCAAAGATATGTGGTCACTGAAGTGATGGGAAAAAAAAAGTAATATAGTACTACTTATATCAGACAAAATAGACTTTGAAACAAAGATTGTATTATAAAGAAGCAAAGAAGGACATAATGATCAAAGGCTCAATCCAGCAAAAAGATACAATTGTAAATATGTATGCACCCAACAGCATAGCACCTAGTTTTTATTTTTTATTTTTTCTTAAGGTATTATTGATATACACTCTTAAGAAGGTTTCACATGAAAAAACAACGTGGTTACTACATTTACCCGTATTAACAAGTCCCCACCCATACCCCAATGCAGTCACTGTCCATCAGTGTAGTAAGAAGCCACAGATCCACTATGTGCTGTCTCTGCGCTAAACTGTTATCCCTGTGATCCCCCACACCACGTGTACTAAATATAATACCCCCCCTCAATCCCCTTCTCCCTCCTTCCCAACTTCCCTCCCACACTCCGCCCCTTTGGTAACTACTAGTCTCTTCTTGGAGTCTGTGAGTTTGCTGCTGTTTTGTTCTTTCAGTTTTGTTTGCCTCGATGTTATACTCCACAAATGAGAGAAATCATTTGGCACTTGTCTTTCTCTGCCTGGCTTATTTCACTGAGCATATTATCCTCCAGCTCCATCCATGTTGTTGCAAATGGTACGATTTGTTTATTTCTTTTATTTTTATTTTTTTATTTTGGCATCATTAATCTACAATTACATGAGGAACATTATGTTTACTAGGCTCCCCCCTTCACCAAGACCCCCCCGACAAACCCCATTACAGTCACTGTCCATCAGTGTAGTAAGATGCTGTACAGTCACTACTTGTCTTCTCTGTGTTGCACATCCCTCCCTGAGGCCCCCCCCACATTATACATGCTAATCGTAATATCCCCTTTCTTCCTCCCTCCCTTATCCCTCCCTTCCCACCCATCCTCCCCAGTCCCTTTCCCTTTGGTAACTATTAGTCCATTCTTGGGTTCTGTGATTCTGCTGCTGTTTTGTTCCTTCAGTTTTTTCTTTGTACTTATACTCCACATATGAGTGAAATCATTTGGTACTTGTCTTTCTCCGCCTGGCTTATTTCACTGAGCATAATACCCTCTAGCTCCATCCATGTTGTTGCAAATGGTAAGATTTGTTTTCTTCTTATGGCTGAATAACATTCCATTGTGTATATGTACACATCTTCTTTATCCATTCATCTGCTGATGGACACTTAGGTTGCTTCCATATCTTGGCTATTGTAAAAAGTGCTGCGATAAACATAGGGATGCATATGTCTTTTTAAGTCTGAGAAGTTGTATTCTTTGGGTAAATTCCACGGAGTGGGATTCCCAGGTCAAATGGTATTTCTTTTTTTAGTTTTTTGAGGAACCTCCTCATTGCTTTCCACAATAGTTGCACTAGCTCACATTCCCACCAGCAGTGCAGGAGGGTTCCTCTTTCTCTGCATCCTCACCAGCATTTGTTTTTCTTAGTCTTTTCAGTGCTGGCCATCTGTACTGGTGTGAGGTGATACCTCATTGTGGTTTTACTTTGCATTTCCCTGATAATTAGTGATGTGGAGCATCTTTTAATGTGTCTGTTGGCCATCTGAATTTCTTCTTTGGAAAATTGTCTATTCATTTCCTCTGCCTATTTTTTAATTGGGTTATTTGCTTTTTGGGTGTTGAGGTGTGTAAGGTCTTTATATATTCTGGATGTTAACCCCTTGTCGGATATGTCATTTACAAATATATTCTGCCATACTGTAGGATGCCTTTTTGTTCTGTTGATGGTGTCCTTTGCCATACAGAAGCTTTTTAGTTTGATGTAGTCCCATGAGTTCATTTTTGCTTTTGTTTCCCTTGCTGGAGGAGATGCAGTAAAGAAAAAGTTGCTCATGCTTATATTCAGGAGATTTTTGTCTATGTTGTCTTCTAAGAGTTTTATGGTTTCACGACTTACATTCAGGTCTTTGATCCATTTTGAGTATAGTTTTGTGTATGGAGTTAAACAATAATCCAGTTTCATTCTCTTGCATGTAGCTGTCCAGTTTTGCCTACACCAGCTGTTGAAGAGGCTGTCATTTCCCCATGGTATGTCCATGGCTCCTTTACCATATATTAATTGACCATATATGGTTGGGTTTATATCAGGGCTCTCTAGTCTGTTCCATTTGTCTAGGGGTCTGTTCTTGTGCCAGTACCAAATTGTCTTGATTACTGTGACTTTGTAGTAGAGGTTGAAGTTGGGGAGCATAATCCCCCCAGCTTTATTCTTCCTTCTCAGGATTGCTTTGGCTTTTGTGGTTCCATATGAATTTTAGAAGGATTTTCTCTAGTTCATTGAAGAATGCTGTTGGTATTTTGATAGGAATTGCATTGAATCTGTAGATTGATTTAGGCAGGGTGGCCATTTTGAAATATTAATTCTTCCTATCCATGAGCATGGGATGTGTTTCCATTTATTGGTATCTTGTGTAATTACTCTCATGAGTGTCTTGTAGTTTCCAGAGTATAGGTCTGTCACTTCCTTGGTTACATTTATTCCTAGGTATTTTATTCTTTTTGGTGCAACTGTGAATGGAATTGTTTTCCTGATTTCTCTCTCTGCTAGTTCATTGTTAGTGCATAGGAATTCCACAGATTTCTGTGTGTTAATTTTGTATCCTGCAACTTTGCTGAATTCAGATAGTAGATCTAGTAGTTTTGGAGTGGATTTTTTAGGGTTTTTATGTACAATATCATGTCATCTGCAAACAGGGACAGTTTAACTTCTTCCTTGCCAATCTGGATGCCTTTTATTTCTTTATGTTGTCTGATTGCTGTGGCTAGGACCTCAAGAACTATGTTGAATAAAAGTGGGGAGAGTGAGCATCCTTGTCTTGTTTGTGATCTGAAAGGAAAAGCTTTCAGCTTCTTGCTGTCAAGTATGATGTTGGCTCTGGGTTTGTCATACATGGCCTTTATTATGTTGAGGAACTTGCCCTCTATACCCATTTTGTTGAGAGTTTTTATCATGAATGGATGTTGAATTTTGTCAAATGCTTTTTCAGCATCTATGGAGATGATCATGTGGTTTTTGTCCTTTTTATTGATGTGGTGCATGATGTTGATGGACTTTCAGATGTTGTACCATCCTTGCATCCCTGGAATAAATCCTACTTGATCATGATGGATGACCTTTTAGATGTAATTTTGAATTTGGCTTGCTAATATTTTGTTGAATATTTTTGCATGTATGTTCATCGGGGATATTGGTCTGTAATTTTCTTTTTCTGTGGTGTCTTTGCCTGGTTTTGGTATTAGAGTGATGCTGGCCTCATAGAATGAGTTTGGAAGTATTCCCTCTTCTTCTACTCTTTGGAAAACTTTAAGGAGGATGCATATTAGGTCTTCACCAAATGTTTGATAAAATTCAGCAGTGAAGCTATCTGGTCTAGGTGTTTTGTTCTTAGGTAGGTTTTTGATTACCAGTTCAATTTCGTTGGTGGTAATTGGTCTGTTCAGATTTTCTGTTTCTTTCTGGGTCAGCCTTGGAAGGTTGTATTTTTCTAGAGAGTTGTCCATTTCTTCTAGTTTATCCAGTTTATTAGCATATAATTTTTCTTAGTATTCATTAATAATTCTTTGTATTTCTGTGGTATCCATAGCGATTTTTCCTTTCTCATTTCTGATTCTGTTTATGTGAATAGACTCTCTTTTTTTCTTTGTAAGTCTGGCTAGGGGTTTATCTCTTTTGTTTATTTTCTTGAAGAACCAGCTGTTGCTTTCATAAATTCTTTCTATTGTTTTATTCTTCTCAATTTTATTTATTTCTGCTCTAGTCTTTATTATGTCCCTCCTTTTACTGACTTTGAGCCTCATTTGTTCTTCTTCTTTTAGTATCGTTAATTGTGAGTTTAGACTGCTCATATGGGATTGTTCT